TTTGAATTGTCTCCAGGTGGTTTTTTTTTTTGAAGATTTTTATTTATTTTTGTATAGAAGAACTGGGGTTTAGGCCAGAGATGTGGGGTGGTGATAAGATTCACAAGAAATAGACTGGGGCGCAGAATAGGCAGATCTACTGAAACACACTGCTGAGGGGAGCAGCGGGGAAACAGGAGAGGTCTGCTGTGCCATATGGGTTAGCTTCCTGGCAGGGGACCGAACTCAGGCCATCATGGTGGGCTGTTGTGGTGACAGCACTGAGACTTAACCCCTAGGCCACCATGGAGGCTCCTGTCTACAATTTTTAACCACAATGAAATGTTTGCAAACATATTTATTTTTTGGGGGTTAAATATATCAGAATGGAATTACTGGGTTATAAGTTAGATACATGTTCAGCTTTATCAGACCATTATTCATAGTGACTACCATTCTAAATTCTCACTAAAAATTAGTTACTTCACATTTCCATCAATATTTGATGCTGGGGCCTCCCTGGTGGCACAAGGGGTTGGGATGCAACCTATGGGGCTGTCCACAGCCACTGCAGCACCAGTTGGATACTGGGCTGGCCAGGGAGCAACACACAAGGCGCAGCAGACCTCTCCTGACTAGCCTGCTGCTCCCCTCAGCAGTGTATTTCAGTCAATCTGCCTGTACTGTTCCCTACTCTGTTTCTGTTGAAGCCTCTCACCCCTCCCCCACGCCTCTGATCTGTATCCCAGCTTGTATGCATAAATAAATAAATCTTTAAAAACTATTTGATGCTGTAACTTTTTTTAGTTTTAACCATTCTGTTAAGTATGTAGTAGTATCTTACTATGGCTTAACATCTATTTGGTCTCACATACTTCTATTTTTTAGTGTTAATTAACTTCACCTATAAGCCACAGGGAAATCACCCCCTGTGCATACAGGTTTCAAATATTGATATTTTTTTCTTTTCTTTCTTTTTTTTTTTTACATTTTAAAAGTATAGGCTCATTAGGAAAAGGAGAAAGAAAATGAGAGACATTTGCATAGTCACAGGTGGGTAGGAGAGCTGCCTCAAATATTCAAATCTCAAAAGACATCCCATTTTGAAAAAAAATTAATGTATAGATGTAGTCCTAATATTTGTGAAGACTGAAACAGGAGTATAAATGGAGATCAATACATTCACATGTTCCGAATCAATCCAGAAAACTAGTATGTGCATGTTTTATCCTCTACCTTGATTCAGCCTTCTTCAGAATGATCTAGAAGGAGAGATTCCCAGTTCATACCTGAATGTAGAAGTATGGGAAAGCCAGTCTGAATACCCCTGAACATTTCACTATAACTCAGCCGTGGCTCCCATTCACCTATCACGAGGTTGCCCTGTGCGCACTTACATAGGAACTGGTCAGGCTGCACTTTGAGCTTTTTCCTTGTCCCCATATATAGCTTCCTCTTAGTATCCCCTTGGGTCTAGAGAAGCACATAGCTAGTGTAATAAACTATGAGTGAGCAGAGATGCTATGGGCAAGGAATTCTGGGATTTCAATACCTAGAGGATGGGTTAAAAGGGAGAATGTGGACTTCAGGTGAGTACATTCCTTTGAGCTCTACACAAACACTTCCTTTTTCAGGAGAAGTGTGACTAGAGGGCAGAGACCCTCCTCACACAACTGTAAATATAATTGTGTGAAGATACCCAGTTTTGGGCCACTGAAGTTTCACCCCTCTTTCCTTGTCCCAGGGATACCAATTTCTTGCAGACCCCCACCGTTGCTGCAAGAACAGATCCTAAAGCTCAGCTACCTCAGCCGTTCCCCAGGACTTGGCTGCGGGGAGTATGATGTTTTAACAAGGAAAACAGGGGAAAATAATAAAACCTGCCATAAGCATAGGAAATGTAAAAGCTTAGAAATGGACATTGACCTATCTCTGTGAACTTCTATGGTTGAAACCTAGAAAATTTGTTAGTGAGATAGCCAAAATATAAATAACCAGAGAAAAATATGCAGTGCGCCCCACACACATGCACACACTCCTGCCAAAATTATATACTATTGATCTTTCAGAAATGCTTCAGAAAATATTTATTAATAACAAATTTATTGAATACTGCCTATATAAGGTACTTACTTCTCTAAGGACTTTACATGAATTACTTTAATAATACTTGTATACTTTTTCATATCCATTCTACAGAGGTGGAAACTGAGGCATAGTGAAGTGAAGCTAAAGATACTGCTGAAGTTTACTTACTAGGAAGTAGCAAAGGCAAAATTCAAATCCAGACAGTCTGGCTGCAGAATCCACAGGCCTGGCCAGGAGGCTATGCTGGTAGGTCTACTATGTGTTAGGTGTTTTATGAGGTGTTTTATATAGATTAGCTAATTCAAACTGTGACATAGGTATAATTATCTCTGCTTGACAGATGAGAAAACAGAGGTTAACTAATTTGCCAAAATTATAAAACTAGTAAATGACTGAGTTTAATTTTACTAACTTGCCACAGTCATTTAACTAACAAGTGGCCAAGTTCAGGTTCAAACTTGAGTAAATGATATTCAGGATACACAGTCTACGAAGGCACAAATAATATTTCTAAGAATGTTTAGAAAAATGTGGCTTTCATTTTTAATTGCATGTAAGGAGTATAATTTAAGGATGTGGGCATTTCTTCTACACGGAACACCTCATCCTTTAACTAACAATGCCTGATAAGCAAGGTGTATTGTGCCTCCCCACACACAGGAAAGATGTGATTTGATTTCCAGTCCTGAAACCCAACCAAAGCTGAGGTTTTGAAAGGTGTGTTATAATTGGCATTAACTGTATTTGATCTTTCTCGTGGAGAGAAAAAAGTTTTCCTTCTTAGACATAGAAAGTAATATATCCATTAAGTATCAAACACCTTATTTCATTTCTATATAAATCTATGGGTAAGATAACCCAGTGATTTCATATTTCCCTGTGAATGCAATAAAATCTGAAGAAAATTGCAGAAAATACATCTACACCAAATCATTCAATATGCATTCCTCAGTACATTCCAGAGCTTGGAGCACATACAGAAAGTATGGAAAAAATGACTGCCTACTTAGAAAGATTTAATTTTCCTTCTGAGTCCTGAGTGTGAGCATAGGTACAGCATTTTATTGTACATCTGTCACACATTTTCAACTTGCCACTGAATTGAGCCTGTGCTTCTTGAATGTAGGAGGGATTAAAAAACTAAAAAACTTTCTTTTAAAAAAGGCAATGTACATTCTATGCCTGAACAGAGAAATATTTGCACATTTACGCATAAATCAAGACATGTTTACCTAATAGCTGACTCTACTCCTCAGTGCACTAGGGCATGAAAATAGGTATAACTTGCAGAAATAGTCATTTGAGTAATTATCCTGGTAAAATTCCACATGTCAAACTTTGCAGTCAAATTCATTTATCACAGCCCTTGAAAGTACTAGCCTGAAGAGAGAGACCCTCCACAAATGGGGAGTTAGCAGTATCATTTCAGAGCTGCTGGTTAGAAAAAGAAATGCAAGTATAATTATAGGAAGCTTCATGCCTCTATAAAATAGTCTGTGGAATATCATCTTAAATATTAATTGTTATATTAGTTATACAATATTCTTGAATGCTGTATCAGCATAGTTGTAAGATTACTAAAGCTGGCGATTATTGTAGTTGTTACATGTGATTATAAGTGGGTGTGTTTTACTTCCCCCAAATCCTCCTCACAATCATAATATAAATGGCAATGTATATTTTTTGCAAAATGTATCTGTGCTGTGTGTTTAGCTCTTGCACTTGACTTTCCAAGAATGTTTCAGCGATGAATAAAAGGCCCACGGTGAGGATGGACCCACACAGCTGCTGGCACTGAGGGTGCCCAGGAACAGGCCACACTCAGCAGGTATTTGGCAGTTCAGTGGGGCATGGAGCCACTAGCAGCCTGGTCACCCAAATCCTTTCCTAAATGATAGGGTCCCATTGGAAGAAAGGCAGCCAACATGGCTGGTGGCAAGGTTAAAAAGGAGCACCTGGAGTAAAGAGAGATGAAAAGTAAGAAAATCGATTATCGCTTCCTTGCCATACAAGAGTAGGTGGAAAAATCCCTTAACTTGTTGGTTTGGAAAACAGGTCCTTTGAGGTGAAGAAATTTTTGTTGTTGTTTAGTTTTTGAACTCTACCCTGTTTTAATTTGTGATTTATAAATCACTGTGGGTTTCTTTATTGTTGTTTGTGGGTTTTTTTTTTTTTTTTTTTAAGAAATTAAATCAGATACAAGAGGAAATGACAACAAACACATACTCTCCAGACTATAATAGAGACTATAGAGAAAGCATTTTTTATTTTACTTTTTGGGGAAAAAAATTTCGGGTGGGAAATGCACCATTTTGAGGATCTATATGTATTAGAGAATATGTTAAGTTAGACAATATGTTAACACATATTTTCCCATTTGGCATTGACAAAATTATTTTTATCTCTGGTTTCCTGATGTGGAATCTTAGATGTGAAGAGGCAGTGTGGCATGGCCAGCATCATCGTAATTGTGACTCTACTTTTCCCCATCACAGAAATTCATCCTTTGTTATCAGAAGCTTCAGAACAAATTGTTTGCATTGTTTCCTCATTATTAATTATTAACTAATTTCATCACCTAATATCTGATACAAAGCACAAATTCATATGTTTTCCAGAAAAGGTCACTGTCTATTCTATAATATAACTTTAATGGAATTTCTGAAGAGAGGTATGTCCAACTCTTATGGTTCCATGGTTAGAATTGAATGATTTTAGACAAAATCAACGAAGAATTAAATTAGGAGACTCTAGGGATTGTGGGGTCCTGCCCTATTCACAGCAGTCACTAGTGGTATGTGGCTATTAACATTTAAGTGCATGAAAATTATATGAGATGAGAAAAAACATTCTTTAGTCACACCAGCCACACTTCAAGGATTTAACAGCCACCTGTAACTAGTGGCTACTGTGATGGACAGAACAGATTACACAGCTTTTCTGTCATCACAGAAAGTTTTGTTGAGCAAAGTCATCCCTTGCTTTACCTTTCAGAGGCAGCAGCAGAAGTTCTGAGTAACTGCTTCTGTGACAAATGACAGGTGTTGTGCTTCCTCTCGTCCCCACACCACATACAGTAAGTTTTCTATGAGAAAAAAAAATCATGTGATAGGTTTTATATGAGAAAAAATAGTAAGCTATTAATAAGAACTGTAGGAAATTTATTTTTTGCTTATGACATGCCAAAGTGAAAGAGAAATTATATGTTTTGTTTCAGGACCTTATTGTGAGCTATAGGGTTGGTTGCAAAGTAAAACTCATTTTCCCACATAACATGCTTCTTCTCAAACTATTTCATTAATTTGAGAGACAAAAAAAAATATACTGCTTTGATGAATAATTTCCTTTTCTGAATGCATACACTTATAAGAATTTACTGTTATTTTTAAATGATGATTATCTAATTAGGCATTTTTTTCCAAAATTCTATTTTGTGATTAACATAAAGTGATCCATTCAATTATACTTAAAATAGAAACTTAAAATAGAAACTATCAATATATTTTGTGTAAAGGAAAATAATTTTCAAATTAAAAAAATTCTCACATACATCAAGGTTGCCATTTCTTCATTCATATTTTTGTATCATACATCATATATTAATTCTATACCTAAATCTACATTTTTCTTTTAGACCTAACTTCATATGAGGAATTGCAAACGTGTAGACCAGGACATTTTATTTTATTTTATTATTTTTTTTGAGAACCTCACACCTGTTCCCTCCAATCCAGCTGTGGATGAAACTTTCTAATGATAGTTGCTTTCCTCTCCCGTTAGTCTCCTTTGCTTCATGAAATTGGGACAAATTTCCCAGCAGTAGGTGAGGGTGTAATCAAGTGAATGCTATACTAAAAAAAGCTCTCTGCTACCAGTCAGACAACTCATAAGAGTCCCTGGAATATTCAAATTTTTCCTATTTCAGGATGAGTTCTCTAGCTACAAAACACTATGCAAAGAAAGATAATTTTATCTATTTTTAAAGTTTAATCTGGCTATAGTGGCACCAATGATCAGATGCTTCCCTGCAGTTGGCTATTTTGATGCTTTAACTAGGTATAGCAATTGTCAGGAGAAGGGAGTTCTGGATGGGTACTAAAGGTGTTGAAATGACTGCTTTTACAAGAACTCTGAGTATTCAGAGAAGAAATCCTATTTGTACATCAACCTTAAGAGGTTTTAAAACTGACGAGGACATTTTAAAGGACATAGAACTGGTTTTCTATATAATTATTTAACATCAACAGAATAACTTGATGGCCTATTTTTTCTACAATATTTACAGCTGACTTAAAGTAATATTCCCATGGATCTTTGCAAACACTAGCTCTATTGCTTTGTAGTTCATACTACTTTATTAGAAAGGATTCTGAAAGTTTATTAACTTTCCTCACAGAGTTCTCTTGAGATGGGAAAGCAGCTTGTTAAATCCTAGTTTAATTTACAGACAGCAACAAAACGAAACACATCACTGTGATTATCTGAGAACTTGGTCAGTAAACTAGAACATGTGATAATGTGAATGTCAGGAAGCCTGGAACTGAGGGTTCACACATAATCTCAAGCCGGGTAAAACTTTTACTTTTCACAAGTAAAATCAATATTATAGTTAAAGGGCCCTGACAAATGCGACATTTTACAAATATGCTAGGTATATATGTGAGTGTGTTTATCTCCTAGGAAAAAAGTGAGAGTGGGTTATCTGTCAGATTCTGTGAGGTAGATGAGGAATGAGGTTAAGTCCGGACATGATTATAACCACCCCAGCCCATCCTTCTCCGCCATAAGGGGTATCTCATGAGAGAGGTTAAAGAAACTTGATTATAAAATACGCCCCTCCAAGGGCAGAAACTTTGGGTTTTTTTTTTTTTAACTTTCTTTCCTACATTACTTCTGTCTCATCCAAGTTTTATTTCTTTTCTTTTCTTTTTTTTTTTTTTAGCTGCTTTCATTTCTATTGAGGACTTTTCTAAATTGCTTATCGAGTCTTGGTAGTTGCTTTACATTGAAGGTGTATGGTAAAAAGAGAACAGGAGGTCAGAACCTGGATGTTGTTTGACCACAGTAGGGACCCTCTGACTAACCTATTTCCTTCCCACTTGTAACATCTTCAGGGTTTTTCCCTATTGTCCTAGACAATTTCTCCAGGAATCTGTCTTCCAAACTATTCCCTGGACAATGATGATCTGTTGTCATAGGAACTATGTTCAAATATCAAGAGTCATAACAGGAACAATATATATGCATATAATGCTAATACTTACAGATATATACACAATACACACAGGGCTGTCATATTTCCACATATTAGAGATTTTACATATATAAATACATATGTTGTGTATATCATATATGATATATAAAGTTCATTTTTTAAGATTTATTTATTTATACAAGAACTGGGTGCAGGCCAGATGTGGAGGAGGGTGAGAGAATTCACCAGAGACAGAGAGGGGAACAGAACAGGCAGACTGACTGAAATACACTGCTGAGGGGAGCTGCAGGTGAGACAGGAGAGGTCTGCTGCGCCATGTGGGTTGCTCCATGGAGGGTGGGGATCGAACCAGCACTGCATAGGCTGTGGTCAGCTTCACAGTGCTGCGCTCAACTACCTGTGCCACCAGGGAGGCCCTAAAGTTCATGGTTTTAAATTAGTATTTTAATAGGAGTAGCAATTTGGAAAAGAAGTTAAAGAGAAAGGAGACCTCAAACACAGGAAAAAGTGGCACCATAATAGAAAAAACAAAAGGAATAACTATTTAGGGGTACAAGACAAGAAAAGGTAATAAACTGGAAGCTCGTTTTGGAACTTGATAGATTGGATTTATTAAATGAGAGTCCAGGAAGAAAATTTAGTGGTCAGAAGTGAAAGATTAATAATGTATAATAAAGTAAATGAGGGAGAAAGTATTTAAATTCTGAAATTAAAACTGTCAGGAATTTATGAAATTTTTTCTATTAAAATATTAAGGGCTTCAGGGGCCTCCCTGGTGGCACAACGGTTGAGCACTGGGTTGCGAAGCTGCCCGCAGCCTCTGCAGTGCCGGTTCGATCCCCGGCTGCTCCCTGGCCACCAGAGGAGGGTCCCACATGGCACGCAGACCTCTCCTGCCACCTGCCGCTCCCCTCAGCAGTGCACTTCGGTCCTTCTGCTGCTCTGCTCCCTGCTCTGTCTCTGGTGGATTCTCTCACCCTCCCATACCTCTGGCCTGTACCCCAGGTCAAAAATTTTAATGAAATGGTCACATGAAATACTATATATACTAATTTCTCCCAGGATTTATATTAGCTAAATTGTAATCAACTATGTGGCATAATATTCAAATACAGTCATTATATTTTTCATCTCCATAAAGTTTCAGATAAACTGCTACTTTTTAACTGTGCATATGTTAGATGTCAGGGAGCATTAATGGAATGGTATTATTTACTAGTGCTGAACTATCAAAGTGAGAAATCACGGTTATACAAATGTATGACTAAATAGTTTTAATCACCTGTTAATGCCAGGTTCTGTGCCACATTTTATTTACGTCTTCCTCAGAATATTCCTGTGGGCTAGGTTACCATCCTGATCTAAAGATGAGACACTAATTAATTCCCTCAAGAACACACAATAAAGTTACAATTTGATCTGAATACAGTGGCTATGCAATTTTGACCACACTTAGATGTCTGGGATAGTTACTCGAAGATATTTTTATGCAATGGTTATCAAAATTAATCACTTTTGTTCAAAAATGCCTTAGGAACATTTTTGGGGGGTTCTGCTCAGCCACAGAGAAAGCTGTAATAAAAGCTTTCTCATGGTAAGACACTTAATTTTACTTCAGCTACTGTCTCCTCCCACTGTCTATAAAAAGTTTATGTACCACAGACCATAAAGAATACAACTGAAGACAGAGACTCACAGGATAGGGCTGAGGTAATCTGTGCTCTGCAAACACTCTTTCTATACACCATTTGTAGAAAAGCACAATAAGACTTTTCAGACATCTGTTTTTGAGGTTACAAAACCCAAAAATATCTACAGACTTCAAATAACTTTGAAAATTTTAACACAATCTGCCATATTGGAAACTAACACCAGTCAAAATACATTCTCTTAAAGCAACCTATTCTTTCATATTTTATTTGTATAATTATTCCATTATCCATTATCCTAGTATGGAATGTATTTACTGTATCTGGGGACAGTTTTTAGAGTTAAAATAACACTGTAAATTGAAGCTGATTGCATATTTATTGTCCCTTCACATTTTCAAGCCTTGATAAAAACCAGAGCAAAAGCCTCTGAAGATGTTCCAGAATCGTGTAACAGAAGGGAATGTGTCAGGAAATCAACTTTTTGAGGTGGTGAAGTTTCTGGCTTTTCCATAGTTGAGCCAGAAATCGGCCATTGGGCAGCACTGGCAAGTGATCACTTACAAAAGCGCTGTAACGGGGGACTATGAAAGGTGTCCAGAGGCAACCCTAACAAAAGCTAATATGTTCCTATTCATAGTCCCTCAGATGTCAACCTACTTTTTCCTACAGGGGAAATGTCACCAATTTCACCAACACACCTGAAAATATCACAAAAATATACATCACAAAAATGTAAAAAAATACATAAGCAAATGTAAATATATCATTTTAAAATATTCATTGAGTAAAACCAAATAGAATATGTGCCTTGTAAGTTGATTATGCTATATGAATAGAAACAGCAAACCTACTTACAAGGTATATCTGCAAAAGTAACAGTTAGGAAACAAATATTTCTCTGCACCAGGATCAAAATTAGATGTATTTAAAATATGTTATTCATTAAATGCTTTGAAAATCTTTGAATCAGTAAATGCCAGTGACAGGTTTTCTAACATTTACAGAACCTGAGGCCTGCACACTCTGTGTCTGAACATTTTAAAGGCATAAATCAGACAGTGGCCCAGCCTGATTCTCACAAGGCCCTTGAAGCCAACTCCTACACTCAGCCGCACAGCTAAGGCTCACAGCTACTATCCTTCTGTGTCTCTCCCTGTAAACCAGAGCAGCTGCCAAGACCTGAGGGCACCAAGCAAGGCAGAAGCTGGCCAGGCACCC